TGATAAACACAAATGACGTTAACTAACGTATTAAGAAACATTTATTTATAGCTATTCTATTTTTTATATTGCTGCTGTTCCTGCTGCACAGTCGGTTTTAAACAGACTTCAAAAAAAGGATTTTTTCATTTTGACCTGTATGTATATGTGTCCATGATAACCTCAAAGCTACGGATCCGAATTGGATGGGGTTTTCGGCATATAAATGCGTATTTATCTGAGATGGTTTTAGTATATAATTTACTAGTAATGTCCCACTGTTTCACCCGTGTGGATCTACGCGTGTACAATTTCCAACTAGTAGCGTATTCTGTATGTCACTAAAAATGATAAAATGAAATAATTTTTAATAAAAATAAAACCGACAAAAAAATTAGAAAATAAGATTTACAACCTGATATACTTGAAGTCGATACCAAGGCATGTATTTAGCAGAGAGATTATGATAATAATAACGATCGACTTCAAGTATATCAGTCGGTAAAGCTTATTTTTTCATTACCAGTTATTTTTAAATCGGTTCAATTTTTTTAATATAGGTTAGTTAGCATTTATTAATAATATTTGCGGAATTTTAATTCAACCCGGCCGGAAATACTTATCGAGGCACGAAACGTGAGTGATAGGCTGTTGCCGCCAGTTGATTTATAAACATATAGTAACTTGACGACATTTCTAAAGAAATAGACGTTCTGATGAATAATAGGGATGATGACTATTTTTTTTCTTCGTTTATCAGGTAGATTATCAAAAAGTATTGGACACGTATTTTTTCTTTTTTCACATAATATAAACATTGCAGAGATATATTGATTTAAAAAGTCGCATGACGTCACGTTTGAGTACACTTATAAGTGAAAATTCACTCAAAAGTGACGTCACGAGCCCCTACTCCCAAACTTTGACGCGCTATAACTTTGTAATTTTTTGGTTGATTGCCCAAAGAAAAAATACGTGTCTATTATTTTTTGATCATCTAACTGACAGACTAAATAGAATTTCGTTTACTGTAACCCGTCATCACCCCTATTATATTGGCCGAAAGTCAAAAGTATTGTCACCAACCGATTTTGAAAAGTTTTTAGAGGTAGCTCCGGAATATCAGAATACTTGGCAAAAAGGTTAGTTGAATTTTATAACAGTAACAATACAAGTTTGTGTTCTCCTTGCAATTGTGTTGAAAAACGTCATATTCAGCTCACGTGCATTGATCATTACACACTCAGTTTCCTTATGAGTTACAATAATGTCTCGTGTGTAGTGACCAACATATCACACTTGAATCACTGTAATAATATACAAGTAAATATGACGTGTAAATAAAAAAAAATGAGGCCTAATCATTTTTCTGAAGAAGAAACCTACGCCTAATCGTATAAGTACACAAAAATATTGATATATTCGCATTTAATTAAGTGCATCTTCTTTAAGTATTTTATGAGTTACGTTTATAACCTGGTACATATTAATTACAACCTACAATATTTTCCCTATTACTCGGGTAGCAGTTGAGCAGCTGGTTACACGATTTATGACATTCGATAGCATCCTTGCAAATTGACATTCACACTCCACAATAATGAGTTGCCGTATTTATGGAGCTGTTGTTTTTTGACAGCGCGGTATCTAGTCGAGTGAAGCGAGACCAATCATTCATCTATGGTATAAACATTGCAAAGATATATTGATTTGAAAAGTCGTATGACGTCCGTTTTGGTACAATTTTCATTTAAAAGTGACGTCACGAGCCCCTACTTCCAAACTTTGACGCACTTTGTCTTTGTTATTTTTTGGTTAATTGCCCAAAGAAAAAATACGTGCCCATAATTTTTTGATCATCTAACTGACGGACTGAATAGAATTTCGTTTACTTTACCCTGTCATCATTTATTCATCATTCAGATTTAGTAGCCGCTATGTGAGCTTTCCAGTTCAGGTGCCTGTCAATAATCACGCCTAACAGCCTAAATTGCGTCACTAACTCGATGCATTTGTTATTATTTATAAAATTTACTGGTAATTTTTTTTTTGGGGCGGGTGGAATATCATGAGTTTTGTTTTTGAATAATTCTTAAATCTCCAAATGGTGTTCGCTCATCCAGTTAGATATTTTATCAAATAAATTAGTTATTTTTTCTTGTAAATCGATAGTATTATGACATGACGTAATTAAAGATACATCATCTGCAAATAAAATACTTGGAACTTGGATGTTTTTTGGAAGATCGTTGATATATATTAGAAATAACAAACATGCTATTACGCTTACAATTTGACCGGATGTTTCGTATTGTTTGGGTGTTTTGATTGTAGAATTCTCTATCAACATATTGCTCTCTTTAGGGTTCGCTTTAGGGTTAGTTATCAAGCCTTAAAAAGGCATGCACGACAAAATCGTGGAACGTCATCTGTCGCCAGCTCCCGGTCTATATAAAAAAGCAGTAAATGTATGAAAAGAGCTACAAGAGAGAGCCCCCCCCCCCTAGAGTTGGTATATCAAATCAAGATATAGGCGCCAGTAACGAATATGTTTCTGTGGCTTGTCGCCCCTCAAAGATCGTTTTTTAGACAATATTATATTTATTTATTATAATTAAGGTTACCTACTTTCTTAATGGCGGAAAACGCTACTCACCATGCAATTTACAAAAGAAAATCCTATTCTAAGAAAAACAGTAAATTCACGTACAAAAACAGAAGAACAGGAGAAATTTCAGAAAAACAGGTGATCACCTATAAAATCGGTAGACCAGGCAACCCTGACCCCGTACCTCACTTGATTACCTCGCAGAGCTATAGTTACCGTACTGAACGAGGGATCATATCACTAGAGGATATTGTTATAATTTCTTTGTTTGAGATTACTTCCCCTAACAGATATCCATTTCAATCGAAACCCTCTTTCTCAAGCGAGGAATGTATCGTTATCTTTCAGTGCGCACTGTGTCGCGTCTCCGTGTGAAATTGTCCCTTACATGTTAAAGAGCAAATATAAATAAATATACGAACAATAAGAAGATTACAATAATGACAAATATACTCGTAAATCAAGCTCGCTAGAAAGCGCTGTTTTTAGCTCGGAATGTTCGATAACAGATGTTAGGATCTAGCAGATTACGGTATAGGATAGCAATAACGTATAATGGAGTTTCGTCTGTGTTGGTATACATTATGCGTTTGTGTTGGAAACGGTCCTGAATATGTCAGGATCCGCGAAAGCGGCGTGCGATACGCATAATTTTCCTTTAGTATGACGGGTACTTTGTGATATTGTGATTTTAACGTCACCTAATTTGCGTATCAATCATTCTGTTTACGTACTATGAATGATTTAAAAGTGTCAACGTGTAAGTGTTACACAACGTGTGTATAAATACGTGTAAATGTTATACCTAAAATTCTCGTGTCACAATGTTAGTTAACATACTCCTCAGAAACGGCCTGACCGATTTTTATGAAATTTTATATGCATATTCCGTGGGTCTGAGAATCGGCTACTATCTATTTTTCATATCCATAAGTGATAATGGTTGTTATTCTGTAACGTTGTGTTCTGAAACCTACAATGCGCCTTCGCGCCAAAATTCAGACTATTGGGTATTGTAACGTAGTGTTCTGATATGGGTTAGGAGGAATGTTATCCCAGGAAATTAATAGAACACTACGTTACACACCCCAAAATTAAAAAAAACATACAACCCTAAATTTTCACCCTTCTACAACTAGCTGTGTACAAGGTATGAAGTTCGCTGGGTCAGCTAGTGGTGTCGATTCTGACACGAATCTCTAAACCTTAACTTAAAGAAGATTGCTCAAATTGGCCCAAATGCACAAAAAATATTGACATACATGGTAATTCTTGGCGTTATTTATAATTTAATTTACAGTCATTAGATTTCAACGGACACCATTGTATAATATATTTACTTTAAAAAGGACTTTTAATTTTACCGGTTTGGAAAACATACGAATAATTTTTAATGGCTAGGTATGGGTGTAGTAACATTCAGCCAAACACTGATCGAAGTTGTTCATATAACATAAAAACAAATCTATTTTGTAAAGATCGATAAAATAAATCATTTTTTTTTATTACACTGTGGTATTAATATCCACAACTATATTATCATTTTCACTAGATGCAAATGTGCTCAGACAATTATTATGGATGGTAGGCGACATCATAAAGTCTATTGCCATACATTTTTCGCCAAACACCTCCATAAACACATTATAATCTGTATATATGTTAGACTTTAAGGTATGGGCTACGTTCTCTGACTATAAAATAATAAATAAATAAAATTATAAGGTGTGATACACGAAAAATCTAAAATATGGTTATCTTAAAAACATAACAAAAATAATGAAGCTACTGAAGGCTATAGAACCTAAATCTCTTAGCTTTCTTTGGTTAACGAGAGTTTAAAAATTCTCTCTAATCTGGGGCTCATTCACAATCATCACACAGTTTCTGTCACAGAGTACCTTATTACAACCGGAAATGACACCTGATTTTAAAAGTTTCTCTTATGTATTAACTTTAAAAACAGGCAACTATCTGTTAATCTACATGCTCTATATACCTGAATCTAATCCATAATTTCGGTACTTGGCTTGATTTCCCTAGTTTACTTTATAACTTATTTGTTTTTTATTATTTTAATATGTTCAGTGTATATGGTTTATAGAAGTTCTCAGGGGTGTCCGTCAATAATATTCGTTTCTACAGTAATTTATATATAATTTCGAATCTAGGAAACAATTTTTCATGATTATTGGTCTTTAGGCCAAACATGTATGGAAGCTGAGCAATCTCCTTTGACAACAGTGTATCCTTGTCATTTTTTATACAGAATGAAAAAAGAGACTGATGTTAAATTTAGTTTTAAGTTTAGAGAATCACGCCAGAATCGGCACCAGTATATATTTAAAATACAACGCGAAATGGTTTCGTATTATATAGTTAATTTTGCATTAGGTATATACTTTAACAATACCTCAGCTGCTACATAGGATTTCAGTTCTTCCTCAGTCACATTAGACCCTGGTTGCCTTACTACAAAGGCTGCTGGTACCTCACCAAAGTATGGAACTGGTTTGCCTACAACTCCGGCTTCTTTTACGCCGAGATGAAGTTGCAGAATCGTCTCAAGTTCTAGTGGAGCAATCTGTTGGTCATCATAATATTAACCATTTCAATTTGTAGTTTTGATAACAAAAAAATACATTTTTCTAAAGATATTGTTGGTCCGAATCTTGTTGTTGCTAAATGTTAGCAATGTATACGAGTCAGGCATTTGTTTTGTGTGGTTTTGGAAGAAAGAAAGCGATCTTTAAGAGTAATAGCCATAAACCCAGTTGAGTGGTTTTCAGAATGATAGAAAAAATGAAAAGTATTTTAGTTTATGTAATGGCAGAAAGAAAATGATAAGTGACGGCATTTTTCATGTAGCTGCACTTTAAAAACTAGTTTAAAAAATAATGAATTAACACAGTAACCATTTTACAATATGTAATATGATTTCAAATAAATTTTCTTATATTTTAGAAATAAATTTTAAGTTTATTCAATATTTTATTACAACAAACTTACTTTGTAACCATCGTAGCAAATTATTTCTTTCATTCTGTCTACTATATAAAAGTAAGTGTCTTCATCATAATAGCCTAGATCGCCAGTCTTGAAAAATCCTTCTTCGTCTAAATAAGTAGAGGGATCCACTCCGATATAACCCTTCATAAAGACAGGGCCTCTAAGGCAGATTTCTCCCCGTTGATTTGGCCCTAGAATTTTACGAGTTTCAGGATCCACTATCTAGAATGAAATATAACACATCAAAATTAGGCTTAGCTTCTCATTTTTCTTAAATCATTGTTTGTGAAGGGAACAATCTCTCTGTTCTTCGAAGTGAAATTAATTATTGCGTTTCACTATTTTAGATTTTTGACTTATTTGTTGTATAAATCTAAAGATTATTTTACTAAAAAATATTTCCACGTGGACCGGGCAGTAGACGCGACTCGAACCCGCACCTTCCGATATCCGGGCGGGTGCACTGACCAATTAAGCTACCGCGGCCTTAATGACCGTGTCGGATTTTCTTTAGTATTTCTTAGGCTGCAAGGTAGCACCATATCTTCGCATTGTAGGTAACCCACAATTAAAATTATTATATCTTATGTATTATTAGTTAAACACTGAAACTTTAGTAAGCAAATAAGTTTGTGTGTTTGTATTTAACAATTAAAAATAATGAAGAATTTATATAATTTGTTTTTTATGTTTTAGTTACAAAAACTGTGTCATAAAGCGATACTTCCAATTACCATTATTGAGTAATGGTTTTTCCATTAGCTTAGCAGGATCGACACCTTGTAAGAGTGTTTCTCCAGACTAGAACCTATGTATTACTTGTATCTGCAGTAAGTAGCTGGAAACACTGAAAAATACACATCAAGCAAGCTGCAGTTTTTGTTTTACGAATATATATTCCTTAAAAAATGTAACATACCTTAATCGTAGTACCCGGAGATACCATGCCAACGCTACCAGGCTTTGGACCCTTAGTTCCCCAATTCTCTGACGTGGGTTCACCACACTCCGTCATACCGTATCCTTGTAAAATATTCTTCAATTTAGGCAACCTTAAAACGAATACCGCGGAAATATTAATTCTGTTTTCAGTTACCTACCGTACAAAGGCTTGCTAGCTTATCAAAATAGTTATGCTTAAATAATGAAGTGATTTCAATAATTCGCAATGCAAATAGGTAATGCTGGTTGTTCAAATAAAATTGACGGTATACCTTTTCTTGACGTTTTCAATTGTTTTAGAATGAAGAGGGGAGGAGCGCGAGTAGATGAACATAAACGAGTCCAAATTAAATTTCTCGAAATCATCAGTTTTGGACAAGTAAACAACGAGCGACGGAACTACCATGGCTATGTTGACCTGAAAATAAAGTTATCTTCTTATAATAATCATAATACTTACCATTAATCATGATCTCTCTGCTCTCTCTCTGGCTTGGTATCGACTTTAAAAATATATCAGTACGTATTTTTTTTTCATTTTCAGTTTTTTTAAGTCAATGTATTTAATATAATATTTTTAAATAAAACATTTTTCAACGGGTTAGATTCACTGATTTTATTTATTTATTGACGTAACATAAGAAGGAGATAGAAAGCCTCTCTGAGTTTGTTTCGCCGATTCTTCTCAGAAAAGGTCTTCCAATTGTGGAGCCGGTGGTAGTTTACGGTAGTTAGGATTAAATAAATAAATAAACTCAAAATTATATAAAAGAATTAAATAAAGTACTTTATCTTTTGGGTTCGTTATGTAGATTCTTGAATGAAAGATTATTGGGGCGTTGTTAATATTTTTATTGCACACTCACATGTTAACAGCTTACAGTAATGGTGGATACCGGGGAAGAGAACCAGCGGCCCTCGACATAGACAAATCTATTTTTATTTTAACCATAGACTACAACATGCCCTTTTTTCTTTTAAGACAAATGACAGTGACAGATGACACTGACATTTATATGTTGACGGATGACATTACAAACATAACCCTACTTTGCTTAACAAAGTTACGTTACAAACAATACAACAATTTTGAAATACATTGTAAACATTATTTACTTCCTAATTTATTACAAATTATGGGCATTAAACTTTACATAAAATACTTGATTATTGTGGTGTATGTCAACAATACAAATTTAAAATTTACTTAGTCAATACTTAAATGAATTACATGTCAATATTATATTATCAATTATACATATTTTATTATAAATTTAATCTCTGTTTTTTCTTTAATAATCTTCCCTTTGAACTATATTTTCTTTCAGCATTTACAGCGTCGTTATTGTCATTAACAGGTAAGGGTGATATTTCATTACTACTACAACTTGGACTAGATAAATCGCTTGGACTTTCAAGTAATTTTTCTATATTTTTACATTGAGAAGACATATGACTTTCATTTTGATATTCGTTATAGTCATGTAGACTCTCCGGTGACACTATAGGTTCATTGACATTTACAAATATTGGAGATTTTACTATATTTTCTGACTGACATTCAGATTGGTTCAAATGACTTGACTCTACTGATAAGAAAGAATCTGAGGTGTTACTCAGTATTGGACTTTGTGATCTTGACTTAGGACTTGACTCATGAGTGAAGATGAAAGTGCAACTATCATCCTCCTCTTCAATAATTTTTGACTTTTGACTGATTTTTGACTTGTTAATTTCTTGATTTATTAGATTTGGACATTTTACTTCTTCAAATTTTACTTTTTTGCTGTTATATTCTGAGACATTATTATGACTAGACTTTAGACAATTTGATTTGTAATCAAAGCGAATATGCTGACTATTCCTACGATAAGTTACATTGTTACCATCTTTGACAATGAAAGATCTTGGGTATTTTGTTTTAGAAACGATTTTACCTTTTGTCCATATAATATCTTTCGGATTTTTCTTAAAAAATATCTGATCATTTATGCGAAATTCAGGATAATTTTTACAGTTTTTGGTGTAATAAGATTTTGTTCTTTGAATGTAAGTAACATTGTTTCTTTTGATAATGTTCTGAATGCTTAACAATCTTGGGTCGCAGATTACCCACCCTGCAGGGCAATTTAGATCTTAATGTTCTAGACATGAAAAGTTGTGCGGGTGAACTTAGGTTCCCCCTAGGTGTATTTCTATATTGTAGTAAGCCTATGTAAGGATCTGACCCTGACTCATCACTTTTTCTTAATATGTTTTTTATTATTTTTACAGAGACTTCGGCTAAGCCGTTGGATCTTGGAAAATGTGGACTTGATACAAAGTGTTCGATGTCCCATTTCTGTAAAAAATTATGAAATTCAGTGGAGTTGTATGGTGGACCTCCATCAGAGACCAACTGCATCGGAATGCCATGACGAGCGAAGATTGATTTTAAATGTGTTATGACATTAGCTGTTCGACTATCCTTATTTAATAGTGCAATTTCAATGTAATTAGAATAATAGTCTACCACTAACAAATATTTCCTACCTGTGTATTCAAAAAGATCTGTGCCAATTTTTGCCAAGGGAATAAGGGTTGTTCATGTGATAACATTGGTTCTTTTGTTTTATTTGCAGAATAAATAGCACATGATTCACACTGTCTAACCTTATTTTTAATATCCTGATTTATATTGGGCCAATAAACTACTCCTCTTGCTAATTTCTTGGTCTTTTCAATACCTTGATGTCCCGCATGTAAGATATTCAGAATTTCAGTACGCAATGAGTGAGGTATAAGGACTGAATTATTTTTGAAAATGATATCATTAATGACATGGATTTCATCTTTGATATTCCAGTATGGCAATGTTAATTTATCACAATGTTCCTTGCAATTTGGCCATCCATTTTGATAATAATCTTTTAATTTTTTAGAGACTAAGTCTTGGTTAGTATGACACAAAATTTTTTCAAGTTTTTGTGGAGAAATAGCTAAGTTGGAAGTTAATAAATTTATGTGAATATTAATATTTGAATCTAAATCTTCTAAACTAATTAATTCTTGGTTGAATTTATTGTCTTTGACTGGGGCACGAGACAATGTATCGGATATGTACATTTCTGACCCCTTTGTATAAGATACAATCAAGTGATAAGCCTGCAAAGTAATCATCATACGCTATAATCTGGTTGGTACTTAAGGTTTCTTGAACAAGGTAACTAATGTTTGATGGTCTGTTTCAACATAAATGGGTTTTCCATATAAATATTGATAAAATTTCTTGCATCCAAATACTATTGCATAAAGTTCTTTTTCTATCTGTGCATAATTCATCTGACTTTTATTTAAGGACTTTGAGGCATAAGCTATAGGGTGTTTATCATGTAAAATAACTGCACCTACTGCATGCTGTGAAGCATCGACAGATAATCGTATTGGTTTATTTATGTTATAGTGGACTAAGACTGGTGATTGACATAATATTTATTTTAATTTTCTAAATTGTTGTTCGTGTTGGTCTAACCATTGCCATTTATTATGTTTTTTGAGCAATTCTCTCAGAAGAGAAGTTTCTTCTGCGAGGTTTGGTATGTAAGATCCTCAATAATTAATCATACCTAAAAATCTTTGAAGTTCCTTGACATTAGTTGGACTAGTCATTTTATAAATTGCTTCGACTTTAGACTGATCAGGTGATACACCTTCTTTGTTAAAAATATGACCGGCATAGCAAATTTCAGACACACCAAATTGACATTTTGACTTATTAAACTTTAGGTTGACTTCGGAAGCACGTTTAAATAAAGCTTCGAGTCTTTCATTATGCTCCTGGACAGTAGACCCTTGAACGGGTACATCATCGACAAAGATAATTATACCAGGCAAGTCTCCGAACAATTTATTCATAGTCCTATGGAAAATTTCACCATATGAGTTAATACCATAAGGAAGTCTAAGAAATTTGTACCTACCATAAGGAGTGTTGAAAGTACAGAGGTCACTACTCTCTTCGTCTAAACATATAGTCCAATAACCCAAAGAAGCATCTAGTTTAGAAAAAATTGACGCGCCTGCTACTTTAGATCTAAGGTCGTCAAATGTTGGATATGGATAGTATGGTCGTTTTGTGGCCTCATTTAAATTCATAGGATCAAGACAAATTCTCAATTTACCGTTCGGCTTTTCGACTAAAACAATTGAGTTTACCCATTTAGTAGGTTTTTCTACTTTTTCTATGACTTTACTTCCTCCATGTTTTTAAGTTCCTCTTTGAGACGTTTTTCCAAAGAATATGGTATTCTACGTATCGGACAGAACTTTGGTGGGACGCTACTATCAATGTCTAGATGTGCCCTGTATGGTAGACAACCTAGACCCTCGATGTTTTAGCATATTTAGAAACAATTTGTTGTACTGACCTTTCTTGGATTCCAAATATTCTTTTTACAATACCCAGATTTTCGCATGAATTCCAGCCAATTATTGTTTTACAATCGCATTCAACAACAACAAAATACAATTTTGTGGTTATTCCATTTTCAAATACACAATTTAATACACATGTCCCTAAATTTGGCACTAATTCTCCTGAAAAAGAAAACAGTTTATTATTTGTCCTTGAAATATTAATTTTAGAGTGAGAACAAGTCATAATTTTGTCTAATGTTTTCTTACTTATGACATTTGTATCTGCTCCTGTACCGATTTGACATTTGAGCTTATAATTATTACAGTAAATATTAATTTGCCAATCATCTGTTTTACAATTAGTATTTTGAATAGATTTGATAACAAAACGATCGGTTTCTGACTTTTCATATGATATATTACTCACTTTATGATTGTTTAACTTATCCTTTCTGAAAAAGAAATAGTAAGCGAAATGTCCGGTCTTCTTACAAATGTTGCACACTTTGTCCTGCGCTGGGCATGTATATTTATGTATCTGGCCACATCTTGTACAATTTCTTGTATGTTGTCGACTGGTTACGGTAGTTCTGTCTTTAATTTGATCTTGAGCGATCTGGTATTTTCGATCTTGACCTTGACTTGTATCTCTGTGGTTGCTCTTTAACTCCCTGCACCATTTCGTTTTTTGTATCCTGTCTCATCAATTTGCTAGAACGTTCCTGAGATAGCTCGAGGCTTTTTGCAATCTTCATAATGGATTCAAAGGTCAGGCCTTCCTTTTGTAGTAATCTTTCTTTAATATATGTATTTTTCATACCTATGATGACCATGTCCTTTATCAACGATTGTTTTAAATTTCCAAAGTCACATGTGGTTGCTAAATTATTAATAATTGTTAAATATTCATCCAGAGATTCGTCAAGTTTTTGCATTCTAGTAAAAAAATTATATCTTTCCATAGTAATATTAGTGTGAGGACTGAATTTTTCGTCAAATTTTTTCAACACGTCTTCTAATTTG